TCATACTGATGATTGTGCCCATCATTATTCGTTTTATCTCTTCATCATTCCCCGCAAATGTGTGGTGCGTCTCTTCTTTTGTTTCATTATCCTCGTAAAGAGGAGGTCGTTGAGTACATTGTATTAGTATTGAACAAATAAAGAGTTATTAAAAAATAAAAAAATTTAGGCATGTCCGTCTCGTCTGGTGAATATTGGCTGATATCAGCACCTGGCGAGAAAGGTGCCAACGATGCTTGGGATAAGCTGAACCGATCCACCTCGAATCTATCAGTTAATTCGAAGTTTAACATTCCTGATCTAAAGGTGGGGTATTTGCACTTTTACGGGTAAAACTGCCCTTTACCAATGGTTTGCTGTTCGTCATAGCAGATGATCATCGAGGTGGATATGGAATGATAGAATTATCTGTTTTCACCTTTTTATTTGATGAGGATGCATGGCAATAGCATGGTGTAATAATGTTGTAGAAGCATTAGATCAACGAAAACTCTTCTTATTGCCCATAAAAGAATCTTTTGTATTCAAATGAATGAGATTCTAATTGCAAATAATAAGGTATGAGTGTAAGGAAACTTATCAAGTTTGCGCCTTCCCGGATGTGTCCATGTTGCGCTGCTGTTGTAGATTACTTTGGTAATTTTTTTAAAGCGCAAACGGTGCGCTTAAATCAATGGGGTCTTATATCTTAACTAAAAACCAACTTTAGAACTTTTTCAGGTTGGTACGCTTGATCAACTCGTAGGACTTTCCGATGATCTTGCAAAGCTGGATACGACAGCAGAAGGGTGAGTAGGCCGCTTTTTCTTTTTATAAAACCTAGAATACGTCGCACATCTAACGAAAGTAATGATTTTCGTGCGGGATAACGGCTGTCAAAAACAGTTCGCAAATATGCTGCCCTTTTGCTGTTTTACTAGTCAATCTGTAAGCTTGAAAAGCGAGAGAGATGTGCACGTTCTATAGAGAGAATGGTACCTTAGTTGCTCATTACTGACGCATAGATTGTACTTGAGGTGCTCTTTTCTTGTCTCTTCGCCATACATTTGGGACACGACTCTGTGAGGGGAAGTTTGCATGATAGGAAGTGATTTGCGTTATCATAATTCGAGCCACACAAATCTGAAGCTCCCAAGCTCTTCTTTTTTGTCCCGAAACAGAATTCATACAGCTCCATGCAGCAGAGACTCTTCTGATTTGTACTCTAAGAAAAGAGTCAATCTTTTTAGGCTGTCTATTCAAAGCCCTCAGTGCAAATTTGAGTATGTGTGTTTAGTGTGACGAGGAAGTTGGTGCAATACTTCGGTGACGTTTTAGAGGATGATCGAAGTAAATTGGCCGAGAATCTACTCATCAACAACAGTGAGTTCTGCCCATAGAACATTG